GGCCTATTTTTGGAAGGTGTTTGGATTTGAAAAACACAAGCACTTTATTAGCGCTGTACCTGTGCTCCTGCTCAGGACAACCTTGTTCTTTTGTCCCATAAGACCCTGCTCAAAAGATCCTCTCAAGAGCTTTCTCTGGACCCGACCCTTGAAAGTGGACTCTGTCACTCTACCCCCTCCTCTGTAGTGGGACTCATCACATTCCATGTTCTGGTTGAGAAGAACATATACATGTATCTTAGCTCCTTTGTTAGACTTCATGACTTAGAATACTTCATGTCTTCTGTTTGACGCACAGAACAGCTCATTTTCCTACCCCTCTGCTCTTTAAGGCAGCATTATTTCCAAGAATATTTATGGAAAAATTGGTAAGCATCACTATTTTCTTGATTTGTTCTTCAGTTTTAAAACAGTGAATAGCTTAAAGAAGAAACAATTTCAATTTTAACACTCTCAATTGCAGCACAAATATTTCCATTATGAACCCACAGTTTTACTTCCCAAACAAAATGCTATACCTCACACTTAATAATCTGTGTAACTGCTTTGCATTTTAAACACAAATAAAAACTCTAAGGCAGCTACCTGGGATGATAGAATCGAAGTAGCCCAAGTTCTGTGTGTGTGTGTGTGTGTGTTTTTTTGTCTCAATAATCACTACCCTATCACATTTCATTTCAAAGCCACTATTTAAAAGCACCAATAGATGTTCAGTATCCATGGGGTTAGAGACACAGACATGCACAAGCAAATTCTGAGCCGTCACACACTTACTCTTGCAGCGAGCATGTGTCACTGAGTCTGTGAGTGCCAGGGCTGACTTTATAACAGGGAGTTCTCTAAATCAGCGTTAGTGTAGATCTCAATGTGTCTTAGATGTTAAATAATAAGACTATGATAATTTGACATTTATATCTATTAACAAAAACCTCAACAATAACCACAGAAGTTGTAGAGAACTTATACCAAAAACCCATTTTTTTTTTTCTGGATGGAACTTTGTTTTGATCACTAGTGTTGTTTAGAATTGTGATAATAAAAGGCAGACCAAATTTTAGTTTTATTGTTGTATTTAAATTGTCTCCCGACAATGATCCCTAATCTCTACTTCCAGGGCATACAGCTGCCAACTCCATAGCCTGGTCCACCCTGATGGGACAGTGAGGTCATGCAGGGCAAGGGTAGGCTGTGGAGTCTACACATATAGGTGCCTGCTGCACAGTTGCAGGGGTTCTCAGCGTGTGGCTCGAGGTGCCAGGGGATTGCCAAGGCTGTCCCCCCTTTTTCTTATGGGGGAGGAAGGTTTTCTTCATGTACATCAAATAAAGCAACATATAACAGATTGAATGTAGAAACAGACAAGGGGATCTAGCTGTCTTCTATTAAGCCAGATATGAAAGATATTTTGAAAAATTTCTTTGGAAAACAGTGTCACTCTTTTGACTTATTTTTGTTATTATTTGGAAAATGTAAGTTATTTCTCATAAAATTGTGCTATGTTAATATGCAATGGCTTGGTTATTGTTATATTTAACAGCATTAACACATTTGTAAGATTTCTCAGTTTTAATTTGTAATATGATAAAAGTGAATAGTTGTATGTCACACAAAAAAGTTCTCCTCAATAATTTTTTTTAATGCATTAATGTATTTGAAAGGCAGTGTAATAGGGAGAGACACAGAGATAGGTCTTCCATACAATGATTCACTGCCCAAATGCTTGCTACAGCCAGGGATAGGGCAGACGGGAATCAGGAGTCAGAAACTTAATCTGGGTCTCCCTCATGGGTGGCAGGAACACTAGTACACAGGCCATCTTCCATTGTCTCCTAGATGCATTAGCAGAAAGCTAGATTGGAAGCAAGGAATGGCTGGGACTTGAATCAAGCACTTGCTATGGGAAGTGGGCACCACAATGCCTGCCCCTCAATACTTTTTTAAGAAAGTAAATATGTTCTTGACCAGAACTCTTGAATTACACTAATGTATATTGCTTTCCACAAGGGTACTTAAAAGAGTGTGGAAAATGTAATCAGAAGAGGAGTTAATTTTACTGGAAAATAATTTTTAAAAGCTATGCAGTTTTTTCATCATGCATTTTCCATGAACTTTTCTAAGGCCTCTTGGGTGCATGAATTTCAGATTTTTTGCACCAAAATAAACTATACCCAAGAAGTTTTTGAAATCCCCTATATTCGGTAGAAGCTTACTGAACGTATTAAGCATGCCTATTACATTAATGAGTGACTGAGTGTATGTCTTGTTACTTCTAGAATTTGGAAGCTGTGCCTAATGTGACGGGAGGGGAAGGCACCTGTGAGCAGCAGAGCTGATGTCTGGAACAGGGGGCCTTCCCATGCCTGGAAGCAGCAGCTGCCATCTGGAGCAGAATTGCCTCTGGTGGCCACATCATTGGAGTGGACCTGGGTCTCAGATGTGTGGGCATAAGGGTGACAGTAGCTCTGTGCCAGGAGAGGTTCAAGAAACTCACTGTATCCCATCCCCCTTGGTGTGGAAGGGCAGGGACAAGTGTCTGAACCTACCTCCCTGTGACAGGATCTGAGCAGAATAGTTTTCTAGGGGCCTCTGAGTGTCAGATCACCGGGCCTGGGCATGATGGAGAGGGTTGTAGCTGCAGTAGAAAGGCTGGGACTCCATGTATTTCTTCCTGCCTGTCCTGGCCAGCTGTGGAGTCTCCAGCAAGTCACTTAACAGCTGGCTTACTTGACCACACAATGAGGAGGAGATAAGATGTTTGTGTAGTGCCTGGCACATACACAATGCACAGTGCAGTAGTGAGTGCATTAGTAAAATGCTATTGATAATATTTGAAAGAAGTAGGCTGAGAGGGATGAAGTTAATGGGGAAGGGCCCTTTATGGGAGTACTTTCTTGATGAGTGACAGTTGGAGCTCGACCATGGTGTAGACCATAATTTCTGCGTCTCAATCCTCTTCACCTTGGGGGCCAGGTAATTTGTTGTTGCGAGGGATTGTTGTGTGCATTGCAGGAGGTTTAGCAGCATCCTTGGCCTGTCATCATGAGATGGATTGTGACAGCCAAGGATGTCTCCAGACCTTGCCCACTGTCCCTGGAGAGGTGAAACCACTCCTGGTGAGAACCAGGGGCATCGGCCCTCATCTGCCAAGAGTTCTGCTATGGGATTCCAGTGTCCCCGAAGTGTCCCCAGGAGGACGTTACACCAGCCACACACACAGATCTGTCCCCATTCCTTGCCGAAAGAAATCTGCTCAGAGATTCTGCTTTCCAGGGAACAAAATGCCTTCTGACTTTCATCCTCTTTCCTGAGGACTCCTTCCTCTAATCATGGCCACTTCCCTCAACTTCTAGATTAACCAGGAGCCAGGTAAACCAGCAGGCTGACCAGGACAATGAAATTTTTGAGAAAGATCTGGACAATACTCAGACGCCTGGAGGAAGGTCCTTCCCTTCAACCTCTGTCTTGGCACTGAGGGGCTTGGAAGCCCCAAGTCTCTTGTAAAAACAGGACCAATCAGTAGAAGAATCGACAAAGGAACTGTGCTATAGTCACACAACAGAATATGCCAGCAATACAAATGAATGAGCTACAACTACACAGAAATGCACGGGAACTCTCACCAACTTAACATTGAAGGAAAAAAGCCAGGCACAGGAGAACAGTCCATTAATGAAATGCCTTGTCAAAGGCAAAATAATATATGCTGAAGCTCCAGGGGTATACAAGGCTCTGGGGTGCTGATTCCATTTGTGAAAATTCATTGGATCTTTTTAAAGATGTTTGTTATATTTTAATATTGCAGTAAAAACTAAGGAAATAACCATTATTCTGGGCCAAAGGACAGGGAAGGCCCTGTAGCAAAATCATTGTGTACACAGGAATAAAAATCATCAGCATCTTTGCCCACATGTCTCTAAATTATTGTGGAAAGGCCAGTTTTGAGCATGACTTTATTAATGAGATGATGTATGTAAAATAATTAGCATAGTGCTTGGCATACACAATGCTCAGCAAGTGGTAATAATTAATGAAGATTCTTCCAAAGTTCATAGAAAAATTGAATTAAAAGTTGTTTATTCTGATGTAAAAATAAAGAAATCTGTGCATAGTTTTTCATAATACGCATTTTCTATGAATTTTTTTGAAGACCCTTCATACTGCTAATGAGCTATTAGTTGACCTAGGAAAGGAAATAACAGCCAAATACAAAGAAACAACCTTTTTTTTAATAGGGGGAAAAGTTTCTGATTTTCAGGTACATTCCCTTTTAGTAAAATCTTGATTTTCAAAATTTTTAGCTCCATTGAGGCATAGTAGAATTACTAGCTCCTCACTAATTGGCGCAAAAACAAAGTCCGAAACACCTGCCAACTTAGGCCAAATAGTTCAGTTAACTTCACACTCATCTTTTATTGGTCCTGCTTAGCTAGAAAACTGGACTCCACCTACCTGATGGAGCATTTGGATCTGTCTTTTGCTATCAATAGAACCTGAGGACTTCCAGACAAACAGGCGGGACAGCTGTTGAACTATTCAGTTAAACTTTGGCAGGAAAATAAAGTCTAGAAAATGTGCAATGATTTCACTACTGTAGACCTGCCTGGAAATAGGACTCTCGTAAGTCTTTACTGAGAGAGCCAGGCAATGAGATAATTCCAGCAAGATGGAGAATTTCAGGGCAAGCTGTGCTTTGCAATTGCAAATTAGATGCCAAATTAACTCTGAAACTCTTTCAGCATGACTCTGAGAATCAGATACATGAGAGATTTCACTGCCAATCACAGGTACTTGGAGAAGACTTCTATTCCCAGAGTGGTTTTCTGGCACTTGAATCCTGCTTGCCAACTTCTGTGCGTCCTGGGAACCTGTGATACTCCCAACAGAATCACCTGGTATGCCCCAGAGCAAGCTGTGTCCCCCACAGAAACTCTTGGATTCTTTGTGATGCACATTTAAAAAGGAAAATCCATGCCCATCTCTGAAAGAAGACAGGCTCTTACCTGGTCTTAGGCTTTGTCCATGGGTACTTGATTGGATCAAGATGCATACAGCCAAGAAAATGGGGACACACAGGGGACTTCCCATTCCTCCTGTCTCACTCAGGGTCCGAGGTCTTCTTGCTAATTTCTGGAGCTAAAGAGACCAGAATGCCTATTGATACTTTGTCAGGGAAGTCTGTCCATTAATAATTAACCTCTCCACATGTTATCCAGTTTCCTTTTTGCCCCCAACCCCGGCTCTGACTGCACCTACTACAAAAAAGATGGGTTTACAAAAGTGCTGTTTATCCTGATACGTTTCGAAAATAAAATACCTTTTCATGTACCTTCCTGGGCCAAGGTCATAGTTCTGAATTAATCAATTTAAAGTTAATGGGCTGTGTTTGGACCTTCTGTCAAAGGTCAGAGGTAGGTTGCCCAAGTCTCCCTCTGACAGCACTGCAGAGGGGGGAGGGGGATGGGAGCCTGGCGGTGGTATTCAGATTGCAAGCTAAGCCCAAAGAGAAAGGAAGGGTCCTCCCATGCTGAGAGCTCCCTGGAGAATCCATTTTCTATTGAGTTCAGGGAAATTGCTAAGGCCTGGAGATGAAGTGTGTTGTGGCCACGTTTCTACAGATGAAAAGGGGGCAGAGAATTCTCAACCTCAGTGTTAAGAAGGAGCTGATGGAGAAGCAAAGATGTCCTTGCTCAGAGCCCCATGTGAAGATGACCTGAGAGTAAACACAGGATTTCCTTCTTCGGTTAATCAGTACTCCAAGTGAGAAGTAAAAACCCAGGTAGAGGGATGCTATTGTGTCTGGCTCTTGTGATATTCCTTGGATCCCTAGTCCTACTTAAAGTTTGTTCATCTCTTCTATATGTATTTGTATGCCTACCATGTGCTAGGTCCTGTTCAAGGCAGTTGAGATACACAAGTGAATCAATCAGATTGACTCAGCACAAGGCACCAGCGAATCCAAGTTCCTGGAAAATCCCAACCCCTCAAAGATGTTTCTGTAGGTAGAATACACTTTCTTACCACTTTCCATCCAGGAAGAGGCCTTCTGAGTTGCTGTAGTTCTTTTAACTTCTTTACTTGTCCCACCCCAGATTCCTCTGCCACCATCTCATGCCAACTCAAGCTGGTGGGGCTCTCCTGGGAAATGACAAGGAGTGGCTGGCTGTCCCTTTGCAGGGGTGCTGACTGCTGCTCCCTCTACTCCAGCTCTTCCTGCCTCTCCCATCACCAGGTTCTGCCTCTCTGTAGTGGCTTTTTTTTTCTTTGATAGGCAGAGTGGACAGTGAGAGAGAGAGAGACAGAGAGAAAGGTCTTCCTTTTCCGTTGGTTCACCCCTCAATGGCCGCTCCGATGGTGCACTTCGGCCAGCACACCGCGCTGATCCGATGGCAGGAGCTGGGTGCTTCTCCTGGTCTCCCATGGGGTGCAGGGCCCAAGCACTTGGGCCATCCTCCACTGTACTCCCTGGCCACAGCAGAGAGCTGGCCTGGAAGAGGGGCAACCGGGACAGAACCGGCGCCCCAACTGGGACTAGAACCCGGTGTGCCGGCACCACAGGCAGAGTATTAGCCTAGTGAGCCGCGGCGCTGGCCTCTGTAGTGGTTTTAATGCCCAGGCTCTGTTGAGTTTCCTTGAACCTGACCAGGGAGATTGCTGGGAGGGAAGCAGAGAGGCTTTCATACAGTCAGACGTTTCCAGAGCCTGGCGACCCTGAGTCTACCACTGCCGGTTCTGTAAAACATTGCATAACCTTCATGAGTTCTATCTCCTTAGCTCTAAAATGGGATGGTATGTGTCTGAGACAATACTTTGCAATGTCAACTTATCCTCTCAACCTATTCCCCTTGCACTCCCTCCCACTTTAAATGGGACAAGATAGAAAGAAGTTTGCAAATATTTTATTTCCTTGAAACAGTGGCTCTCACAGCAAGTAAATTCTAAACTGAAAAGTTGGGCAAAGGCTAGAATGTGTTGAAGGGAGAAGGACACCCCTACCTTTCCATTACTAGAAAGACAATCTACTGGGTTTTGCAGGTGTGGAGGAGGGAGAGATTGGTTCATGGGTCTGAGAGCAGAAGGAACAGTCCCTTGCTTCCTGGAAACCAGATAGAAGGGAGGAGCCCAGAGAAGAAATGGGTGTGTGTGTGTGGGCACATAGCCGAAGATGTACCCAGCGTGGAAGCATAGTGAACTTCTGGTGCCGACATGTTGATGAGAGCATGCTCTCACCCACCCCCCCCACCTCCCCACTGACTGCCTATGTGGTCTGATGACAGAGGAAGAGCTGCTTACCCTCCAACCCCAAGCCTGCTCAAGATCTACAGCATCACTAAGGGTTGGGTGATACAGAGAAACAACCCAGGAAGGTCTGAAAATAGGGGTATAGGGTGCATCATTCAGATGGGTTATGGAAAAGAAACTCATTTGTTGTTCAGAATTTGTGGACTGAGAGTCACATCTCTACAAACACAGGCATGTTCTGAGTATTAGAGATTTTTCTAAGTGAGGTGTCCAGTCAAGTGTTTGGCTCATGGTAGAGGTTCAATAAATTTTAGTGACTTATTTTGGAAGCAATATACTTGGTGGTCAACAATCCAAGCTTTGGAATCACCCAGATCTATGCTCAAACCCCTGTCCTATCACATACTAGCTGTGTGATCTTAGGTAAGCCATTGACATTTTATTCCTCTGTATAAGGGGATTCAAGGATGATAGAATCAAAACTAGAGTGAGGGCCTAGGTAACATTCATATTAAACAAGTTCTCTGGGTTATTCTTGGTCACTTGAAGTTTGAGAGCCATTGCCTCAAAGGGTGCTTAAAATATCTACATGGATGTATAGAGAAAATGGCAGGCCTTTCATATTTTTTATTTATTTATTTATTTATTTTTAGGCCTTTCATATTTTATTATGTCTTATTCAGAAAACTTTGTGTAATGTTTAATATGCTACTGCTATTTTTTTAAACTTTTATTTAATGAATATAGATTTCCAAAGTACAGCTTATGGACTACACTGGCTTCCCCCACCCTCCCATGACTTCCCTCCCACCCGCAACCCTCCCCTTTCTCGCTCCCTCTCCCCTTACATTCATATCAAGATTCATTTTCAATTTTCTATATATACAGAAGATCAGTTCAGTATACATTAAGTAAAGAATTCAACAGTTTACACCCACATAGAAACACAAAGTGAAATATACTGTTTGAGTACTCGTTATAGCATTAAATCTCAATGTACAGCACATTAAGGACAGAGATCCTACATGAGGAGTGAGTACACAGTGACTCCTGTTGTTGACTTTACAAATTGACACTCCTGTTTATGGCATCAGTAATCTCCCTCTGCTCCAGTCATGAGTTTCCAAGGCTATGGAAGCCTTTTGAGTTCTCCGACTCTTATCTTATTTAGACAAGGTCATAGTCAAAGAGGAGGTTCTCTCCTCCCTTCAGAGAAAGGTACCTCCTTCTTTGAAGACCTGTTCTTTCCACTGGGATCTCACTCACAGAGATCTTTTCATTTAGGGTTTTTTTTTTTTTTTTTTTTTTTGCCAGAGTGTCTTGGCTTTCCATGCCTGAAATACTCTCATGGGCTTTTCAGCCGGATCCGAATGGCTTTAGGGATGATTCTGAGGCCAGAGTGCTGTTTAGGACATCTGCCATTCTATGAGTCTGCTGTGTATCTCGCTTCCCATGTTGGATCATTCTCCCCTTTATTTATTCTATCGGTTAGTATTAACAGGTACTAGACTTGTTTATGTTATCCCTTTGACTCTTAGTCCTTTCATTATGATCAATTGTGAACTGAAATTAATCACTTGGACTAGTGAGATGGCATTGGTACATGCCACCTTGATGGGATTGAATTGGAATCCCCTGGTATGTTTCTAACTCTACCATTTGGGAAAGTCAGCTTGAGCATGTCCCAAATTGTACATCTCTTCCCTCTCTTATTCCCACTCTTATGTTTAACAGGGATCACATTTCAGTTAAATTTCAACACTTAAGAATAACTGTGTATTAATTACAGAATTAAACCAGTCGTATCAAGTAGAACAGACAAAAAAATACTAAGAGTGATAATGTGTTAAGTTGTTCATTAACAGTCAGGGCTATGCTGATCAAGTCACCATTTCTCAGAGTGTCCATTTCACTTCAACAGGTTTCCTTTTTGGTGTTCAGTCAGTTGTCACCGATCAGGGAGAACATCTGGTATTTGTCCCTTTGGGATTGGCTTATTTCACTCAGCATGATGTGTTCCAGATTCCTCCATTTTGTTGCAAATGACTGGATTTCGTTGTTTCTTACTGCGGTATAGTATTCTAAAGAGTACATATCCCATAATTTCTTTATCCAGTCTACTGTTGATGGGCATTTAGGTTGGTTCCAGGTCTTGGCTATTGTGAATTGTGCTGCAATAAACATTAGGGTGCAGACCGCTTTTTTGTTTGCCAATTTAAATTCCTTTGGGTAAATTCCAAGGAGTGGGATGGCTGGGTTGAACGGTAGGGTTATCTTCAGGTTTCTGAGGAATCTCCAGACGGACTTCCATAGTGGCTTGACCAGTTTGCATTCCCACCAACAGTGGGTTAGTGTCCCTTTTTCCCCACATCCTCGCCAGCATCTGTTGTTGGTAGATTTCTGTATGTGAGCCATTCTAACCGGGGTGAGGTGAAACCTCATTGTGGTTTTGATTTGCATTTCCCTGATTGCTAGTGATCTTGAACATTTTTTCATGTGCCTGTTGGCCATTTGGATTTCCTCTTTTGAAAAATGTCTATTGAGGTCCTTGGCCCATCTCTTAAGTGGGTTGTTTGTTTTGTTTTTGTGGAGTTTCTTGATCTCTTTGTAGATTCTGGTTATTAACCCTTTATCTGTTGCATAGTTTGCAAATATTTTTTCCCATTCTGTCGGTTGTCTCTTCACTCTCCTGACTGTTTCTTTTGCAGTACAGAAACTTCTCAATTTGATGCAATCCCAATAGTTGATTTTGGCTTTGACTGCCTGTGCCTCCTGGGTCTTTTCCAGAAACTCTGCCTGTGCCAATATCTTGAAGGGTTTCTCCAATGTTCTCTAATAACTTGATGGTGTCAGGTCGTAGATTTAGGTCTTTAATCCATGTTGAGTGGATTTTTGTGTAAGGTGTAAGGTAGGGGTCTTGCTTCATGATTCTGCACGTGGA